ACGTCGCAGTCCATCTCGTGGCCCCTATTGCACATCCGGCTGGTCCTCTCGTAGCGGACGTCGAGGAAGCATTGCCAGTACCACCAGCTCCAGGTGACGAAAGGCTTGCTTTCCGGATCGAAAGGATAAGGTACCCAGTCCCCGTCGGGGCCTTTGATCGACCAGAGAGCGCGTTGGTCTTTTTCGAAACCGTACATGGCGGGGATCTGATCGTACTGGCTTACGAGCCATGCGTGAGAGTCTGGCCGCCACTGCGGGCCATGCCGTCGAAGTTGACGGTCCGGGATCCCGAGGCAGAAAACCCGGTCGCTCGGTATCGGCATTCTCGGCAGGCGACCCGAGACCCACGCCTGGCGAAGAGCGCGTCGCTCTTGTTCCGTCGTGCGCCCAGAGCAGAATCTGGCCATACGGCCTATGATATACGCTACCAGCAAGCCTCGGAAGGCGTTGGCTAGCCCGGCGCGCGTATCGGAGCGTCGGTACTGGGCCAAGGCCTTTAATGCCAACGGGGGGTTTGACGCCTTTATTGAATTCAATGCCCAGGCGGTTATTACGACGTTGCCGGGAACGTGGGGGCCCGCACCGGGCCCGTCTCCTGGCACGAGACAGACGGCATCCACGGAAGGGTTCAAGGGGCTGCGGTGGATCCCTCGCACGGTAAAGTGCTGGTATACTATGTTCGCATGCTGGTTAGCTGGGGTTGACACGTCGTGGCCTTATTCGCCTCTTACCCTCGACGTCGCGCATGTCCCGGAAACAGTACCGGTCCCGCCAACCGCCTATGGTTCGCTGTTTTGCCAGCTCCACGCACATCTGGTGAACGAGGACCCTTCGTTCTCCTACCGAGTTCTTGAGGTCCTCCGGCGACTTCCCTGCCGCTTTGTAATCCCCCCTTACCAACGGCGCCACGTTGAGGAGTGGCCGGCTGGCTGGCGTCGGATTGTCGTCTTGCCTGAGCTCCTGCACCGGCCTCTTGGAACACGCGTGGCACACCCGCATGTTCAGCTCCGGCACCTCTGACATGGTGAAACATAGGGGCTGGGCAGCACAGGAGTGGCAGGGATGGCTGTGCCATCGGTCACCCTTTTCGCAGCGCGCGGTCTGCACGACTCGTATGTCCTGATCGATGCGCTGGTTCTCGATGTCCGCGACCTCGGCGCCTCGGCGCCAGACGTCTATCACGTGCTCGCCGCCCTCGAATGCCTCTATCATGGCCTGCATTGTCTCGTATGTCCGAAGGAATGTCGGGCTGCGTATCGTAAGGTTCGGTAGGCCCGGGAAGTGATTCCGGACCCAGTTAGCGGGCTTCACCCTGGCCACGGCGAACCTGCGGCAGACGCGCGCGACCACCGCGGCTCCGCGCACCACGCCGTCTCTCGTTGTTACTGGCAGGCAGTACGACGACTGCAGGGCTTTTATTTTCCTCCGGATGCTTTGTGGGGAATCGTAGGACCCCGCGAAGGTGTATGCGATGTAAGCAGCAAGGTTTGCCGCCAGCTCGTGTTGCCGACGTTGCCGCGATTCGACAAACGCCGGTATTGCCGGGCTGGCCGCACGTCGGTCGTAATATCCGCCGGCGGTCATTATTACGTCTTCCGGCACCGCGGGGATGTCCATCGTGTCGTCGATGCGCGATGCGTTGACCTTGACCTTCATGATTCTGCCGTCGGACTCGGGGTCCACAATCGGAAATACTGAGCGGTAGATGTGTTTGCCAAACCTTTCGGCGTGGGAGGTACTGGTAACACAGAAATCGACGTCCTTGGGCCCGAGGCCGTGGTATCTGAAAATGGCGTCTCTGATCGCCCATTGGGTCCGCAGGTCCACGCTGACGAGCCGGTCGAATGCGCGTTCGCATATTGAGCGAGCTGTGTCTTTAAGTTGTTCCAGTGTCACATGGGTCCCGGAGATTGGCTTGCGGGTGTCCTGGATATCGATGGGGATGGTGGTGCACGCCTAAGAAAAAAGGTCAGGGAGACGGGGTGCGTTGGGGGGGGGGGGGCGGCTGACGAGTGCAAATTCTTTGCTGGAGACCTTGAGGTTCAAGATGGGCCTGTTCTTGGATTTCCGTGTTACTACCTCCACCTTGTAGGTCGTGGGGCTCGTCCCGGAGCCGACGAGGTGTTCTAGACGATACGGTCTCGCTCCATGCCCGACGACGTCGGGAAGTCTCGCCTTTTCTTTCTCGAGACCGGCATCCTTAACCTTATTCCTATTGAAGGGAACTACCTCGCCGAGGGCAGCGTACTTGGGGATTTCCGCTGGCTCGGCGCCGGGAATAGTGCCCTGGAACCCTTTGCGATCCATACAAGCCCTAAAGGGGATCGCTACCCCCGGAACTCTAGACGCGCGGTCCATCATCAGAGGAGTAAGCGAGGCTCGGAAGAGGACGGCCTGGTCCAACGGCGAGGGACCCTCCAAGGAGCAAGTCGATGACCTAGGGAGTAGTAACGAGGACTTTGTGACCCTTTTTTGCCACCCTGGAGCCGGAAAGAAGACGTGATCAAGTGTGGATTGCTCGTTGTGTCGATTGTATCTACTCGGGGCTACCAAACACGATGTCGCAAGCCTGCATGTCTATATATGCGTAGATATGCCTAGCAACGCTGCCTACATGCCATAGGTAACTACGTAAAGCACTGTGCTGCCTGCTGCCCCGCGCGTTCCTAGTTAGCTTCCTTCCTTTCCTTCTTCATCATAGATCTTTTACGCAATAAAACACCTATTTGGTGAAGCCTTGCCTTCATTCGTGTGCTAAGTGTCACTGTATCCAATATTTTTGGCTGTCTCCGCAAGGGGGGGTCTCGCAAAGGAGTGGCACATGGTAGAGTATCTAGGTTCTGCTGAACAGAGCCTAGGGCGCGTCATTGTGTAAGAACCGAACGGTGTGGTATTTGGGTAAAAGGTCTCTAAGAATAAAATATCTCTAAAAGTAACCCAAGGTAAAATGTTGATAGGTACCCCGATTAGCCACGCACGTGACTAGGCCCCCAAGGCCTGTACAGTAGGCAAGCTCCGTCCTTCTTAACCAGGTACAGGTATACCCACATCCGCGCAGTATAACGTAGCATAACGACTCAACCAACATCCTATTCATCAATGTTCTCGGTACCATTGCTGTTTGTCGATCCACTTGGTACCTGTAGCTCTTTGTTCCTTTTGCGGATCGCGCCCTGCCGACTTAGTTACCGCACTCGGGACAGATGACCATACTGATTAGTAACCTACCTGGATAACGTACTGGCGGACCATGTTGGTGCGAGGCTGGCCGTATATCAAACCTGCCATGGAGACCGGATTTCCTGCATTGTCCTCCATAGGATATGTTGCTACCAGGTAAGCAGCAGTCATTTCCACGCAATCAGTAAGAACATAGTGTAAGTGTTCTTCGTTTTCCGCCTCCACCCCAAGCAAATCTAATGCTAGGCGAACACCCTGCTCTGACGTTTTTCCATCGATTAAAGGAATGCCGTGCTTTGCGGCGGCGCGTCGCAGCCCATTTACTCCACACTTGAAATATAAAAAGGTCGCAATTTCTTGTATGATTGGTCTGTCCGGGTCGATGTACTGTCGCGTAACGGGTGTCAGAGGAAGGTCGGTGCACTGCTTAGTCACGGGTGTCGGAGGAGGGTCGACGATGAACGCCTCCTCGATCTGGCGCACGGACAGTTTAGAAATAGCTTCGGCTACTTCTCTGCGGAGGGTCTGTTCGTCCATGATAAAGAAGTGGCGTGAGTGAGCCAAAGGTGAAAGAAATCGACGTAGAACGATAGCTGGCGGTGTGAGGTGCTGCTTTAGTAGAGGGGTCGATCCTGTTGAGGAGTTGACTCTAGTGAAGAGCTGGTTCAGCCGAGGAGCAGATTTGAGTGTGATTTTGTAGTTGGCGGTAGTAAAGTGCCTGGGGAGCGGTTGCCATTGACGACGTGCGTTGCCTGAGAAGATGCTGGTTGCGCCTGACAGTACCCGTAAGAACACGGGCCGGGCTAAAGAACATAATATAATTTATATTTTTCAGAGATGTTGTTTGTTTCATTCCCCCCCATCTTGTTACTTATATTACAGCTCAGCTTTTCCTACCAGCTGTATGCCGGCTTCTACTACCTGCTATGGGGACCAGCCAGGAAACCAAAAGCTCCCTCCCACCCGACCTCGAGGCAAGTAGCAGGCTATCACTCTTTCTTAAACGGTGCGCTAACTAGGACAAGGCAATCAGTAATCTCCAGCTCCGTCGCGCTGCAAATGCTATATGCAAATCTTTTGCGAGATATAAGTGGGAGAAGCCGCACCATGGCTATGACGCAAAAAGGTGGGAGATGGTTGCTTCCCAGAGAACTTCCGAAGCTCTTGAAGCTCTTGGCTTACCGCGGAATACTGCTACACAAAAATACCCTGATATCATGAGAGTCATTGAGCAGTGCTCAAGCGGAACCGTCCTGAGAAAGCTAAAGCAACAATTCCCGACAATGGATTTAAACGGTTATCATTACGTCCCAACCTCCCGTCACAAATCCCGGTTTGTAGAGTGCGCTTTACGGGTAAGCATAATTCTAACACTCCTGATAATTACCAACTTGGAAGTTAAGATGCTAACACCTGTTTATGTTTAGGCTGCTATTAAGAGCTACCGGCCTATGTAACATAAAACAACCCCACTAATACCTTTTATACTTTCCCAACAATGCTCTAGGCTGTGGGGTTAGCAAACGGCTAGGGCATAAAGGAATGAGCTGGGGGCTATTTACATATGCACAGACTTACCCTTCTACATCATTATATTGTACTGCACTCATTTAGCTGGCCTTACAGGCACTTGCTGGTCGAGCAATATAGTTCATTACCCTATGTTGGTGACATCTCTCTCAATGCTTAAGTACTTGCTATAAGCTAGCTAACCCTTATAGGTCATGACGGGAGTATATAGCTCTCGGTTGCTGCTATATATAGGAACTATTACTCCAAACCTTTCCCAACTAATACAAAATCAACTCCGAGTTATGTTGGGTCGGGTGGCCTAATGGTTTAAGGCATTGCTTTCCGGTTGTTCCTGGTTCTGGCAAAGATTGCGGGTTCGAGTCCCGTCCTGATCGTTTTTTGGAGGAAACCAATGCTTTAAAAGTTGACTTGTTATAATTTTACTTACTGCTTCTTTTTAATATTTTTATATTGTTATTTATACATAGGTAGACTTAGCGTAATAATAGCAACCAAGGCTAGACTTTTTTATTTTGTGCAAAAGGTATTTAGGCGCACAGGGCTTTGCTTCAATGATAGATAAAGAAATCGCTTTACAGTGCCTGTAATATAGGTACTTGGATGGAAAAATAATCCCTGTATAGTAGAGCGGGACCTGGCCTGGGTCCTTTTAGGTATCTTTGGTAGGGCAGGATATGATGGATCTTGTTTCGCGGTACTTGCATCGGAAGCGTTGGTGCAAGAGCCAGCTCCTGGCTCGTGCGTTGTTGTTTCTTTTCCAAAGCACGCCAACGCCACGTGGGCCCAGTCCTACAGGGATAATGATAGATAATAACTAGTAAACGCAAAATTTTGACGGTAACACAGGCCAACGCATAGCATGAAGAGATGCTTAATGATACTGTAGTATTGTGCTGTAACTAATCTGCGTGGTGCTTACGGGAGAAGTAATACTCAGAGAGGATATTACCATCTATAATGTCTTGGCTAATCTACAGCATTACCTGTACTACCTACAGTACAGTAGATAGGACTGTTCTTGGTATTGGTCATACAGCATACACTACCTAGAGGCCGGAGTTCAGCTTGATACAGTGCGCACCTTCCCTCGGCATCCAACATGATCGATATTGGTCGATATACTTAAGCGAAGGAGAGAGCTTTGGCACGTTGACGAACCGTACAAGCTGATTGATAGAGAGCTATCTACCTTGCTTAAGACAAAGCAGTACACTAAGCCTAGATAAGAGAACTTGGCAGTGGCATCTATCTATACTAGGGTCCCGAGAGATTCAATGCTACCTAATCCCGGCACCCATGCTTGCATACGGCACGGATCTCACCGTCATTTCACGTCAGCTGCGCGAAAAATTTTGCGACGAAGCAGAAGGGGTGCCACTTTGTTCTGACTCCCTCAAAGCTTTTTAGTACAGTAGAAGATTGAAAAGGGCCTACTCAGAACTCGATGCAACTTCTTTTCGCTAATTGATCGATGGATCAATTGATTATAACCCATTATAATTACCTAGACTTGCTGCAAAGCAAGATAACGAGAAAAAAGTTCACCTGATGAGATAGTGTAGATACCCCTGGGTAGTGCCATACCTGGTGTACTTACAGTAGTCCCTAGCTGATATGTGAGGCGTGAGGCTCAAACACGCATGACTCGCCTACAGTAAGTCCCCTGCGACCTTAAGGCGTTGGAACAGCGGTAGATAGATACCTCCTTCCCCTTTTGCTTCCAAATTGGTCAACTGAGGTTCCCAGACGTACCCACATCTATACAGTTTCCCAATCTCCTGGAAACGCGGGTTTTTTTGACAGCTCTCCTGTAACAAACAGTACCGTGGCAATACCTAGTATATATTCCTTGCCCCCACGCCTACAGGGGTAGGCGCCGCGAGCCGTGCAGTGTAGTATACCATGTACCTACTGCACGTCAAGCCGAAGATAGCTGACCAGGGTCGTCGGAAACTATGCGAGAACGATTGGCGACTTTTCGTTGACCCCTTGCACCATCTCCCGAAATAAGTAGGCCAGAATGGCTTGGTCTGTCGCCTAGGACGCGATATGTGACTCTTCCCAGAGCTGACTCATACCAGCATTGACGGTCGTACTGGGGACTTGCAGTAAAGTTGCTGTGGTCTCGAGGAATCACCGGCTCGATGACATGCTCATCTTTGCGAGAATGCGAGGATGCGTCCCCTTTTTATGTTGTTTGGCTCCCACATCCTGTCCTATGCTATCGTCAGCCAAGCTCCACCACACGAGCTCGTTCCGATGGCAGCTGGACTGCATGTTTGCTATCCGTGAGACCGGACCTAGTGGAGGGGCCGAGTGGGGATTCATATTGGCTCCCACCTCTTCTCGAGTCGCATCCTTTGCCCCGACTCGGTGTTGCTCGACAGCGCCTTGCTGGCAACGAGAGTTCTCGGGACAGTGATAACTTCATCTACCCAATTAGTCGATATAAACATTATGTTGTGTTCTCAATGCCAGGTGCTTTTCATGTTGAAAGCATGCCCTTACAGCTTGTTTGATATTATTCTCGGCCGAGATTGGAGGTAAAGCCTCAAAACCAATATTGCCGAGAGCAACGCGATCGGGTTGACCTGATAAGCGCTGTACCCGGGAATGCCCGATATCCCTGTAAATGAACAATGAAACCCGTCAGCCTTGTCTCCTTTGGGTAGCCTCTAATCGAGCAGAAAAGTTTGTCACAACCTCTTTGCTGTTTTGTCCCCGTTGTGTCTATTATGTCGACGCCCTGTGGGTTTCATTCCAGTCCGCGGCTCAGCTTCATTCACTCAGACACAGTGCCCATACCAGCTGGTGGTCCATGCCCAGCTCCGGAACAACTATTCTGTCCTTCTCCTGGAGCTCCATCAGACTTTTCTTCCTTTCTGCCGCACCGTAAAGAAGCTTTTCTTTCCTCCTCTTCAAGCTCTTACAGTACCTCTTCTCCCACCATCTTACTCGCCTGTCTTTTCTTCTCTCGACACTCCCCCCTCCATCTCACACAACACCTCCACATCCATCACAATGGCCTCCGCTCGCATTGTTGCTTCCCGCGCCTTTGCCTCTATGGGCACTAAGGTCGCTCGCCCTGCTGTCCGCGCTTCTTTCGCGAACGCTGCTGCTAAGCGTACCATGGCCAGTAAGTATTTCGGGGGAAACCACTCAATTGGTTCCGGTTGAGCCCGTAGAATGCCTGATCGATCTAATTGAGAATGCAAACTCTGACAATCGTATCCTCTAGGCAATGCCACTCCCTTCCATGCTGCCAAGCGTCAGCAGGTCTCTAAGATCCTGAGCACTACCACTCGCCAGGCCTTCCAGCGCCGCGCTTACTCTTCCGAGATCGCCCAGGCCATGGTTGAAGTCTCAAAGAACTTGGGTATGGGTTCTGCTGCCATTGGTCTGACCGGCGCCGGTATTGGTATTGGTCTCGTCTTCGCTGCTCTCCTGAACGGTGTTGCCCGCAACCCTGCCCTCCGTGGCCAGCTCTTCTCATACGCCATTCTGGGTTTCGCCTTCGTCGAGGCCATTGGTCTCTTCGATCTCATGGTTGCCCTAATGGCCAAGTTCGTACGTATTTCCCGCAATAAAATCGGACAGCCTCTAGTATCGATACTAATTGCTTTGCCAGACCTAAACATTTTAATATCAACATTTATAAATGGGCTTCACACTACGTCCTTGCGTATGTGTAATGAGCGATGCGATGCGAGAAACCCCACCGTTGTGTCATAAAGTACGACTTCGCGTCTCAATATGTCCGATGGGGATATCACTAGAATAATAGACGGTTATAGACTTAGAAACGGGCATAAACCAGGGTATGAAACCGTCTACAGGAAGGGGCTTCATTGCATCGCCTTCAGGCATGTGTGTAAAGATGGGAGAAGGGGGGAAAATCACTGTGGAGGTGTTGGTTCACCTTTCTGCAGCGAGCAACTTGTAAAATACGATACCACCAACCATCAACATCACCCAACTGAAAAAGCACGATTTTCTTTTCTCCTTTGTTCTAAACAAAAGCAACATTGGCATGGGCTGGCGTTAGGTTGGGAGTGTGTAAATGAAGCATATGTGGTATACCAATGAAAATAATCTCCACTCACCCTGTTAATCTTCTCCGCGGCTTATGCCCAGTTGCGAAATAATTAGTTGACGCGGGCCTTGGCTCTGCTCCGACCTGCCTGGTTCATCGAGTCGAGTGACTTTAGCGTTGTATTCTGGTGAGCGGTTTTTGGATAACACAACGTGGTCCAATGTATTGGCGGGATGAATCGGCCTACCCGGGGGAGTTCCTCCTTGGACAAGCCGAACGACCTAGCTAATACCTAGTCGGCCTGCTTCCGGCCCACAGGAAGCTTCGTAGCGCCAAACTCTCCACCCAGTGCCTGCCTCATTCTGCTTGCATAGCCCCCAATGGTAAGTCTCAATTGCTTCGATGTGGACCTGGTGATGCAGTGACCAGAGATGGGCGTTTTTCACCTACGCATCCTATATGGGGACGGGGTATCAGAATGATCAAACGATTTAGCTGGTCTAGCTGCTTCGGGTAGTATTCTGCGTATGAGCGATGGTGGCTCTGCCCACCAAGGTCTTGCTAAGTATCCGCGTTGAAGATAAGCTGAAACCTGGCCGGTACCGGGAGGGGGTTGGTCTCCCAGACCATGAGTAGGTGGTCGAGCCTTTGTTGAGCGAATATCATGTCCAGGTTCTGCGGTATATCTCGCGTTTAAGATCGCCTCGGCTTTCCAGATCTATCGGCAAATTCCCATGTTGTGCTTTCAACTCAACGACCACCGACTGTTTCCTAACAATACTGATTGGGCCAATCTCGACCCTGGCTAACCGTGAGATGAAGATGCGTCGTTCTCGGCTAGACTATCAGCACATCAATAGCCAGTTGGTCCCCCTCTTCCGAACCCCGTTTCAAGGATCAATTTATGCCTCAATCCCAACCTTGGAGAACCGTGGATTCTCGCAGAGAGGTCGGCTCGTTGTTGTTGAAGTCCATACCCAGCATGACCAGAGCAGCACCTAGCTCGGAAGCACCTAGAAAGTTGGTCGGCGTTGGAGCAGACTAAAGGATTAATGCCAAATAAGCGATAGAGATCCCGCACGGGATACAATCAAGAGCTAACAAAGCAGCAACGGGACTGTACTAGGAACCGCTTCGAACGGGAAAGCGACTACCCTTAATTGCTCCGCATTAGGATGACCGAACTCCTGTCGTACCAAGCAACAACTCGATTTAGATGAGTAGTTCATGGCTAGGCTGCCTCTCTTGAGGGCTAAGACGTCCAAATTTCCATTGTTCTAGCGGCCAAGCGTTGGAGCTTGTCAAGATAACCAGTATGACCAAGTGAAACCACATTCGCGA